ACAAGGTCTATTGCTATGAACAGTAGGCTCATCCATAATTTTTTATATTGTCTTGTTCAAGGGCGACCGACTCTTATATGAAGAGTATGTGGTTGAAGATTGTGAGCAGAATTCATATGAATGTATTGTTCCCATGTTTCTTGATCAGGTATGGCATGAAATTCAGCCTCATATGTTTTTTTTATAATTAGTTTAAGTGTAAAAAGGTGAGACATATTTTATACGATTCATTCGCCTTTGTCCTAGCATAGCAATGACATGTGCACAAGGCATGTGGTATGTCTGACGTATCAACTCAAAATGATCAACACGACATATCGAAAACATGAAACTCGTGCGTGTTGGTTCAGGAAACTTCCAGACCACTTTTTTTATATTCTTGTAAAGTTGTCACTCTATTAGAGAAGATAGAAATATTTTGAATTTCAGGAAGTGTAACCGCTTCAAAGCTCTTTAAAAAAAGAGACAATATTACAATAGATGGAGAAAATTAATGCTTGGATTGGTAGACCGCGGACCCACTTCAACAACGCATTGAAACATTCATATGCATTTGTGGTCATTGTTTCATACATGTAGCGACCATCATGAGTAAATGACCATATAGTAAGATCTCTTGCAATTAACCTATCATATGCCTCAAATTTTACACTTTTGATATCTTACATATTTCAATTGTATATACAAAGACTAATAGTATTCCCTGCAACATATATTTGTTGGCAAAGAAAGACAACATCAATAGTCTTATTCTACGTATTGTTTTTTAAAGTTCTCCCAAAGGTGTTAAGCAATGTCAATGTGCAACCCAAGGAAAAATTTCCGAAGACCTCAGTCCAGCGTGACGATCGAAGATAATGCACAAGTCTTCTCTTGCAGAAGCTAGAGAAATTAATTCATGGAGTGTTTGTAGAAACCAAAATCAAAATTCGTTGCACTTTGATTCAACAACTGCAAATGCCAATGAAAATAAACCATCATTTACATCAATTCCAATTACAGAAAGTAAAGTCCCACCATATTTACTCAATAACATTGTTTTGTCTATGCTCAAAACAGGACGACAGTATTGTCAGCCCATGATAGAAGGTCCTAAGGCTCAACAGATACGTTTGAAACTATTGGTCTCTCTTGAATGAAATATGTACACTATTCCTTGCAAAACAGAGCATATTGCACATATCATACGATTCAATGTACGAAATGATTCCTCTCAGCATCAAAAAATGGCTTTTATTGCCTTGCGCTTGCATCCCAAGCATTCATATAAAAAATCTCGACATCAAATTTGGCTTCCATTCAACCGATAATCTTTCTTGGTTTTAAATTCATTTGTTGTCTAATGACAGGTAATATAAAGTGATTGATGAAATTTGTGTTACACTGTCTGAGTCCTGCATGTATGTGGACCTGCTAAAGTTGAGATCCTCCAAGCCCCTCCCAAACGTTTGACCAAACTAGCATGCAGACGCCACAAACAAGGTCTAAAAGGATGATCATATCGCACACACAAGACTGTAAACTTTTTTTTCTATTTGAGGTATATATCCTGAACTCTACGTTATTAATTATAGACCAATCGTTGAATACAAATCGCAACTATTTTTTCCCAAAGAAGCAAATTTCCTCTACATGCTCATCAGAAATAACATTCTCTTGGGCGATGTTTTCCTTATCAACTAGCCATCAAATGTGATTTTCTCATCTCATTCCTTCGTAGTTTCACAAGTTATTATTAGAGACCATCTATTCTAGTGTATAAGCGATTCTTGTTGAATAGGACATTATCAGATTTTTTCTTAAAAATGTTGATCCAGGGTTGAGTGTATTAGATGGTAATTCATGATCATCACTGCTTTTACTAGAACTTTCATTTGAAGAGCTCAAATTCGTTTCATAACCCCCACTAATGTTGTCCAGATTTTGACTAATGTCTGAATGTCAAACTTGAGTAGCATTAGAACTCGAAACAACATGTGGTACTGAGGTCGGTTCAGTGGCAAAATCCGTGTTTGTATGGTATGAGTCGGTACTGCAATTTTACGTGGAGAAATTAATGAAATCTTAAGTAAATACATAATATTAGTAACATCTATAAATTCATGTTCTATACAAAACCTGGCTATCAACTGAACTTTAAAAAAGCCCAAGTGTTGTTCAACATGATCATTTTTCTTGATCTCAACATAGACAATAATATGTTGTTGATAAGCCACACTCAAAACAGCCTAAAAAACTTCATTATCAGTTATGTGGGATGCAATAAACTCATTCCCAGTAGGAAAACAAAATATCAAGTTAACATTGAAGCTTGTCGAGTCATATTTAAGAGACCTTAAGATTCAATTCTTAAGTTCTCTAAAATTTGTTTGCCTGGGAATTTGAATCAAACAGTTTGCTCCACCAGAATATTATCGTGCAAAATCTTCATTGATACGTAAGTGTCCATCATAATATAATATCAAACAAACTGATTTAGATCCCATCTTTTAGGTTTTACTGCCACTTCGCTCATAAAAAATTGAACATAAGTTAGTATATGAGACTTACTACTAGCCTTAGATGTTCTATTTATAATAAAAAAACTTAAGAATTGGTAGACTTCTCAAATCACATGATCCATCTTAAAGCTATAAGTCTACAACCAACAAACTTGAATTGTAATCCAAATAGTAATTTTCTGACCCAAATAATTCAACAGGAATGTTTAATCTGTACGAAAAAATGATAGTTTAAATTCTAAAACTAATACGAAAGATGTAATTGGGGAATTAACTAGTCAACTAAATCCAAGCACGGAGGGAAAGCCACAAAAGAAACCAACCAACTATTAAACTTGAGAAACAGTAAAACATGAAAGGAAGAAAAGAACAAATATTCAATATATGCTATAATTCATAACAAGAAAGCAGGTGCAAAACAATGACAATATGTTAGATCCAAAGGAGACCGAGAATCCATAAGAAGAAAGAAAGCAACATGTATAAAGCCATTGTTGAAAACAATGTAAACAAAACTGGTCATTTACAAGAACAATTGAACTGAAAAAAGTTTCAAACTAACAATAAACCCATGCTATCTTTTAATAAATTAAACAGTGATATTTTTCGTTTGATGCAGAGAACTTAATTGGTACATATGTAAATATCAAATTTTAAAAGTTAGATGTGAAAATATATATGATCGTGTGCAGTATGCACATGCCCAAAATTTACATATAGAAGTATCTCATTTTACATCATTAAATCATCATTATCCAATTAATCTTCCCTCTAATACAACAAAATTATTGGAATAAAGCAACCATAAATTAGCTTGAATTTGGTGGAATAAACACGATCATATATGAAAATACCACTTCTAAGCCACTGAAATCATTCATGAACCCCTATAACACATAGATACATAATGCTAAACAGAGGATAAGCAGTCGAAGCACAATAATTTTGATGTAAAATGAAGACAAACCAACATATTTCAGTAATAAACGCTGAATCTAGCAGAATAATCAATACAAGCTATAAAACATACATACAAAATGCTGAATATTATGCATTCCTGTAAATTAGAAGATATATTTTCCATCCCAATAGCTACTAAACTTATCTTAGGTTAGAACAGATCGGAAAGGTTACAAAACAATCAAATTATTTGGTAATAAAAAAAAAATATTAGATAAGAACCTCCGGCTAGTGCCGGTAAAAGGAGAGTGAAATCCGGCGAAGAAGAGAGATTTGGGTCGCACAGTTATTTGCTCGGGTCGCGTCGGTGAATTCCTGCTAGCATTGGCTAGGGTTTCCAGATGAATTTTTTACTTTGTATGGGTTCAACTATTTCGACAATGGAAACTCTCAATATCGTGACTTCTAATGAAAGGAATCGAGGTGGCTCTGATCTCTCCTTTGTCTTTTTTCCGATCTTCTTGCTATCAAGGAATTCTTGTTCTACTTGGCGACATCATCTTTTCGGGACATTTCGAGGTTCCCTTGGGGAGAATCAGTCTCTTTGCTCTTTACAATCTATAGGTGTCATCGCCAAAATCTTCCTTTTTGTTGTTGAGCTACGTAGAAACAGACAAGGAATTATACATCTTGTCTAAAAAGCTCAGTTAAGTTGCTAAGTTTTGAAGGTCAGGCCTTGTGGCCCCCCCATGAGTGACGCAACTCAAATTAAGTAATACATTAGAATATTTCAATAACAGTACAAAATAATCGAATAACACTTCATTTTTTTTTTTTTTGTAAAATAACGCTGATAAAATATTTATGTAACACAGCGGGATATTCTTATAACACCGCGACTATTGGAATCCGAACGTATCTCTACATTCAGAGTCCTGACGTAATATGCGCTCTCAGAATAGTTTGGACAACAAGAAATCTTCCTTTTTGTTTGTGGGCTTCTACAACATAAGAGAGAACTGTAAAAAAGTTGCCGAAGAAGATGGATTCATGTTTCACAAATTCTTCCCTTCGATACAAAATGATATTGTCACAGATGTCAGATAAACCCTAAATGGACGTGGATGTATGTCATTTCTTTAATGATGACTAACCTTTGGTAATTGATTGCCCGCTGAGGTCATCAAAATTAAACCGAACATCAAGTCAAAAAAAATAAATGTTCAAGGTTCAGTGATTCGACCAAATTTCAACCGTATAACATCATAAGTACAAATTATTTAAGTGTGGTATGAATAATGAATAATGATATAAGTATGTCGTTCGGTAAAAATTAAAGTCCTGAATAAGTATATAACCTCAAAGTGAACAAAGAGCATGCTTAAACTGTTCATTTTTATTGATGAATTTATGCAAGCCTACATTTGAGGTCATGCAATAACTGCATAGGATAGACAAGCAAAACGGAAGGCATTACAGTAGCAAAAAAAACTAATTTTTATCAACATAAATTATAATATAAACTCTGATTTATATACACACCAAGTTTCTATCCATAAAACATAACTTTAAAAATGGAATGCAATACCCAACAATTGCCCACAAACAATCTGACCATGAGCACAATACCAACGATTCCAACCAATGTACACGACCATCAATCCTGTCCATGGCTGCTTCTGAATTTACATTACACAGCTCCTTGTCAACAACGAAAAAACCAGAAGAGACGAGGTGTTGGCGAATTGATGGCGAATGGCCGGGATGGCGACGAACGGGAAGTCTCACTTGCAGGGAAGCATGAAGCATAAGAGTTGGGACTTGCCCAGTGGGAATGAATGTTAAGAATTTAGATTTTAGACATCTACTTATTTACTCCTTATCCTTTGTTAACATCATAGCCTTTGGATCAAGCCTCACCCATAACCGTGCTGTCCTCGCAAACCGTAACAGGTTCGTCGGTTGGACGATCGAGCCAGTGTTTCTTACGGTCCCAAGCGATCCTACTATAGAAACATATCAGCCCCAACAGGTAATTAATTCTGCAGGTCAACCCAACAGTTAGGACTCAACAAATGAGGCCAATGAACAAAACTTTATTGGCTCAAAATGGCCCGTTAATGTCAACACTTTCCCATGAATATCATATATTGGTGTACACAATTTAGAAGATAAATAAAGTAAAATTTTAGACATTCAAAAGTATTTACATGTTTAATATCTAAACTTTTTATATTTATATTTAAAACACAGTTGATAAATGTAAAGACATATTTCATTTTCAAAGACTAATAATTTGTAATAGTTTTGAACCAAATTATCTCTACAAAAGTGTGAGCATCTAGCCTAACTTTTATGTACGGACTTCTGACGTAGCTCTACATGCCGCGGAGGTCATTCTTGAGTTATTTTCAGTTTATTTCTGAATTATTTTCAGTTTATTTCTGGGTTATTTTCAATAATAACAAAATAATCCCAAAATAACCTGCGGTCTTTATTTTTGGGTAATTTCTGGGTTATTTCGAGATTATTGAAAATAACCCATAAATAACCTAAAATAACTCAAGAGTAACATGCGAGGTACGTGGAGCTACGTCAGGAGTCCGAATAAAAAATGGGCACCAACATCTATTGTATGGAATATATTAGTTATTGTGTTCCGCATGCTCTGTATATTCCACTATATTTCTACATAACTGTTATTAATCTCCATTGCTGAAAATTTCATTTCTAAAAAAAAATAAAAATGAAAACAAAAACAGAAAGATTTTACAGACACAGCAGCGCCTATCTCCTGCAGCTGACTGAGCGCCTGAGGAGCACCAGCAAATAGAGGAACCGATAAAACACGAAAAACCCGAAAAGCACCTGCAACCCGACCCACTTTCCCCCCTCCCTCAACCCCCTCTCCACCAACACATCCCTTCCCTTCACCCTGCACTCTCTCCCCTTTCTTCCCCCCACCTCCCCTTCCCACTCAAAACACCTCTCCGCCTCACACCCATACTCATTCTCCAGCATGGCGTCCAGCGCATACCTATACGGACTCATATAATGCATGAAAACCCAGTACTCCGGCATTCTCTCCTTCCTCAAAAAGTAGCCGGAAAACAGAAAGAATCCGGCGAGCGCCACCGTAACCACCGACGTTCCGGCAATGTAATCCGGCGCCACTGCACTCACAAACAGCACGAACGAGTTGGCCGCCAGCACCACCGCCCACACTATGAACACGAACGAAACGAAAGCTGTCAACTTGGCGCAGAGTCCGACCAGAAAGTAGACGCTGCAGGCGTAGAGAAGTGATATAGCGAAGAGGTAAGGGAGGAAGACGAGGGTGGTCGCTATGAGGTGTGAGGAGAGACGGTAGACGCCCGCTGAGGCCTCGCGAAGGAGAATCGATCGTTCTGAGACGAAGATGGGGAGGGTTTCGGTGGTGGTGGAGAGGAGAAATGTTAGTGTGAAGGCGAAGAAGCCGAGCCTTTTCTGCATCCCCTGTTCGTCGTAGCTAACGCCTATATAAATGGTGCCGAGGAAGAAGCCGACGAGGAGAGCTTCGAGTGTATTGGTTAAAAGAAGCTGTTTTGAGCGGTAGATTGCTTTCCAGAAACGGAGATGGAGGACGGCGATTTCGCGGGATCGGGGGCTTGGGTAATGGACGGTGATTAGTTTGCCGGCGGTGGGCGGGCGGCTGGGTTGTTGGGGAGGAGGTGAGGGAGGAGTGGGGAGGAGGGGGAGGACTTCGAGGGCGAGTTCGAGAGGGGTAAGGTGGTTGGGAAGAGGGAAACCGGAGGAGGAGAGGAAGGAAGAGAGGGAGGTGAGGTCGCCGTGGTGTAGAACGGTGCCGCGGGAGAGGAGGAGGAAGGAGTCGAAGGAGGAGAGAAGTTGGGAGGAGGGTTGGTGGATGGAGAGAATGACGGCTGGGCGGCGGTGAGTGGTGGCGGCGTGGCGGAGGGATCGAATGGCGAGGAGAGCGGAAGCGCTGTCGAGTCCGGAGGTGGGTTCATCGAGAATGAGGATGGAGGGGTTGCGGAGGAGGCTGAGGCCAAGGGAGATGCGGCGGAGTTCGCCGCCGGAGAGGGAAGAGGAGAGAAGGGAGTGGGAGATGTGGGAGAGACGTAGGTCGTTGAGGAGGGAGGAGGCGGTGGAGGAGGCAGAGGAGAGGGGGAGGAGGAGACGGGAGGATAAGTGGAAGGTTTCGGAGACAGTGAGGAAAGGGAGGAGGTGGTCGTGTTGGGGGAGGTAGGCGGAGAGGCGGCGGAAGGTGGGGATGTGAACAGGGGAGGAGTTGAGGAGGAGGTGGCCGGAGGTGGGTGAGGTGCGGGTGGCGAGAATGTCGAGGAGAGTTGCTTTGCCGGCGCCGCTGGGGCCG